TGATGTAAAGAAGATCTGTATTGATTTTAAGGTGAGAAATTCATGTACTGCATAGAATGGTTTCCAGATGATAACTTAAGTCCTCTTAAACTTTTATCTTTACTCTCCTTGACCCCTTTTGATATTGGGACCCAAAGGTCAAGGTCACAAAATCATATTTCATAAAATTTCTTTAGTTCTCTGTGAGATTTTCAAACTTATATATTTACTCTCCATAACTTAAAAAAAAATTCCACTCATCAAGGTCAGAAATTCCTAATACATGTATATCAAATAAAAAATTTCCTGACGATAATTTTAGTTTTCTTTTAGATTTTGCTATGAAATTTTATATATTAATTCTGCATGACATCAAAAAGATCCCCCAAAAGATTTTGAGGTCAAAAGGTCAAAGTTAAAGGTCATATTTCCATTTGTTTCACATATTTTTTCCCAGATGATAACTTTACTTCTGTTTTAGCTTTTGCAATGAATCTTATTTTTATGACTCTCTCAAACTTATGAAAGACCTCAATCCATTTTGAGGCCAAAAAGTGAAAAGTCAGTCATTCTTTTTTTTCTCTATCTGCATCTTCATTATTTTAGGTCTTCCACTCACTTATTTTGTTCTTAAGTGCAAGACATAAATCCCTGAATTAACTTACTTTGCTCAAAGAATCAAATTTCTGAAATTTAAATCTTATCCAATATTGCATTGAAATTGTTTTTGTCAAGTTTGTACAATATTTGCATATTTTTTAGGTTTAAAATTCTATTTCATGTTGGTGTCTACATAATATTATTTTTTAATTTTCATTGACTTGTTTAACTTTAACTCCAGGTACAGCAACTTAGTTGTAAGTTTGTGTGTGTGGCTGATATATCAAACATAGATGTCTGGAAAGTTGACAAGTAAGTAAAAACAAATGTTTTAAAATTTAGTTCAGAAATTATTACACATTGTCTAGATCACACATGATGACTCTCCTAAGAATGAGAAGTAGTTAAGATTCCATCAAGGTACAATTGTTAATTCTTAAACTTAATGCATTCCCATGTAGTGTTGATTCAAGTTTTTTCAGCATTCCCATGTAGTGTTGATTCAAGTTTGTTCAAATTGTGGCTTCTGGAGCAAAGATGGGGACCAAAATAGGAGGGGGGGGGGGCAAAATATAAAAGAAAAAAATCTTTTAAAATATGTCAAAGAGAATCAGGAACAAAATGCAGTTATGATTTATATGCAAGCATCTTAGTGAAGTGTATTTTTAGGTCACCTGAGTCACTCAGGTGACCTATTGCTACCCGTTTTCGTCCGTCAGCATGCGTTGTCCGTCGTGCGTTAACTTTTGAACGTTTTAAACTTCTTCTCCAGAACCGCTAAACCAATTTCAACCAAATTTGGTATATAGCATCTATGGGTGAAGGGGAACAAAAATTTTCAATTTCATGGTCCCTGCCCCCCTGGGGCCTGAGGGGTGGGGCTAAAACCACCAAAATTAATGCAATCTTTAAAAAACTTCTTCTTTACTCCTGGACATCAAGCAGTCAAACTGTTGGCATGATTGTAATAAGCATTGAACCCTCTACCAAAATTGTGAAATTCATGGCCCCAGGGTCAGGGGTTCTGGTGCTAGGGTGGGGCTATATAGATCATATAGTGAAAGTGCACTATTTCTTTGAAAATCTTCTTCTCTGCTCCTGGGTACAATGTATCAAATAAACAAATAAAGTACATAGTTATGAAGGGCAAGAGTGCCTCTTCCAAAATTGTGAATTTCATGGTCCCAGGGTCAGGGGTTCTGGTGTTAGGGCGGTGCTCTATTGATTATATAGTGAAAATGCATTAATTCTTTGAAAATCTTCTTCTCTGTTCCTGGGTATTAAATAAACTAACCAAGTATATAGTTATGATGAGCAAGAGTGCCTCTTCCAAAATTGTGAATTTCATGGCCCCAGGGTCAGGAGTTCTGGTGTTAGGGTGGGGCTCTATTGATTATATAGTGAAAATGCATTAATTCTTTGAAAATCTTCTTCTCTGCTCCTGGGTATTAAATAAAGTAACTAAGTACATACATGTAGTTATGATGAGCAAGAGTGCCTCTTCCAAAATTGTGAAATTCATGGCCCCAGGGTCAGGGGTTCTGGTGTTAGGGCGGGGCTCTATTGACTATATAGTGAAAATGCATTAATTCTTTGAAAATCTTCTTTTCTGCTCCTGGGTATTAAATTAAGTAACTAAGAACAAAGTTATGATGAGCAAGTGCGCCTCTTCCAAAATTGTGAATTTCATGGCCCCAGGGTCAGGGGTTCTGGTGTTAGGGTGGGGCTCTATTGATTATATAGTGAAAATACATTAATTCTTTGAAAATCTTCTTCTCTGCTCCTGGGTATTAAATAAACTAACTAAGAACATAGATATGATGAGCATGGCTGCCTTTTCAGAAATTGTGAATTTCATGGCCCCAGGGTCAGGGGTTCAGGTATTAGAGTGGGGCTCTATTGATTATTTGCATTAATTCTTTGAAAATCTTCTTCTCTGTTCCTGGGTATTAAATAAACTAACTTAGTGCATAGTTATGATGAGCGTGGTTGCCTTTTCCAAAATGTGAATTCCATGGCCCCTGGGTCGGGGTGTTGGTATCAGGGTGGGGCACAATTGATATATATATAGTGAAAATGCATTATTTCTTTGAAAATCTTCTCTCTCCTGGATATTAAATAAACTAAGTACATAGTTATGATGAGCATGGCTGCCTCCTCAGAAATTGTGAATTTCGTGGCCCCTGGGTAAAGGGTTCTGCTGTTAGGGTGGGGCTCTATTGATTATATAGGGAAAATGCATAAATTCTTTCAAAATCTTCTTCTCTGCTCCTGGGTGTTATTCAAATAAAGAAAGTGCATGGTTATGATTAGAAGAATGCCTCTTCCAAAATTGTGAAAATCATGGCCCCTGGGTCAGGGTTCTGGTGAAGGGGGGGGGGGGGGGGGGCGGGCTCTATTGATTTTATAGTGAAAATGCATAATTTCTTTCAAAATATTTTTTCTACTACTGGTAATAAAGCAAAGTTCTTCTTCCAGAATTGTGAGTTCATGGCTCCTGGGTAAGATGTTCTGGTGTAAGGGGGGGGGGGGGGGGGGGCTTTATTTATTTAATTATATAGTGAACATGCATTTCTTTGAAAATCTTCTATGCTTCTGGGCATATTCGAGGCAAACAGAGTAAAAGTTTTAGTATGCAAGGGTATTTTTATCAGAGACCAATGTGAGAAGTAGTAATTTGGGATTAAAAATAGACATTTTGTTAATAGTCTGCATGGTAATAGTGTTAAATGGGGGACAGATAGATGCTATACCAATTATTCTGTTGATGCTTATCATACTATTTTTCTTGCTTTTGGGCAACATTTAAAGCTTCATTTATCAGTTTATGGATCCTCTAAATTGTTGTATTGTACTCAGGTGACCGTTAAGGCCATTGGGCCTCTTTTTTTCAAATCATAGCCCCTAGTAGTGGGTAAAAATTTTAAGTTTTGAAAATAGGCAAACACTTTTTAATTAGTTCAGTTAAGTAATATCAATAAGCATTTCCATGTTGTGTCATTTCTGTTCAAATTATAGTTCCTCTGTAAGGATTGGACAATAGTAGGGAGGTAGAGGTGGAATCAAAATATTACTTCAGAACTTATTGGGAAAAAAACAACTTTTTTTTCAAAAACAGCAGGTCCACCAGTATTAATTGCAATAAGCATCCTCATGTTATGTAGATTCTTTTTTAATGATGCTATGAGGGACTGGTGGGACCACAATGTAGTTAAAAAGGTTTTCATCGATCAACACAAACTGTCATGTAAGTCTCCATAAGAAGTTCAAGGTATAGTTATAAACATGATGTCAAACCAAAGTAATCTGTAAATTCACCAAATTTTAAATGTTGAATTCATGGTCTTTAGTTTGCTGAATACAATGGAGGGTTTCATTCTACTACATATTTATCTGTCAGAAAGAGAATGGATCCAAGGTGAGCATTGTGGCCTATGGGTCTCTCATTAAAGCTTTTTAAAAAATTGTTTAATAGTTAATTATTTCTTACAGGAATAGATTTACTGTTGTGGTATCTGGCCAGGGATTAGCGACATTTGATGTACAGTGTGCATAGTATGAGTATGTACCTGTAGTGGGACAGTAAATACTGTAACATTTTCTTTTAAAGGATGACTGAAATGTTTAGTTATATAAATAGTTCATTATATCCAGTTAACTGTAATTATCATTTTCTTGTGCTTAGAAAGAAGAAAAAGAGTTCATAGTAAGCATGAATTCAAACTTTATTATTTTACACTGTATGTGAGTTTTTTAATTGCCTATACATAGAAACTTTGTTAAAATATGATTTTTATCATAAAGAAAAAGCACATGCTGAAATTTGTGATTTAATTAAAGGTATACATTATTTTCTTTTCAGCATAAAATGCTGGAAATATTGAAGTATATTAAATAAATTTTACTCTCTATGAAATTTTTTCCACATTGGACAAGACTGATTTAAAAGCATAAAATGTGACTTAAAATAGGAACTTAAAATAAAGACAACCCCCTCCCCCCCCCCCCCCCATGATAATGTTTACTGTATTACCTAGTTAAAGTACCTCATAAATTTTGCTATATACCTGATAGTAAAAGTGCTCCCAGGGGATGATTTTCTGCATAATTAACATGGTCATTCTCCAGGGCACAGATAGTCACCAAGCAACCCCTCCCCCATATATGGTATCAGTCGAAAACAATAAAAACATCTTATTGAGAAATAAGGGTTACATTATCAATATCATATTAGAATACAAAAATAGGGAAAATGTGTGTCAACCCCAGATTTAAAACAAAAATGGAAAGGGGGGGGGGGGGGGGGGGCAGCTCCCAAGTGCCTGTGTGCTGCAATAGACAGAAGATCAAACAAATCACAGAAATAGTGTGTTGTTACATGCAGCTTTTAATTACTTTCTAACATTAGTTTTTATGGATACAGTATTACAATTACATGTGTATTTTTTTAGTTAATTATTATAAGATATTGTAACAGTCGATTGAGTGAAACTGTTAAAAAAATCGATCTACAATAATGTTTCACATACGGAAAATATATTGTGTTTAGTTCTTTATGATATACGTATTTGGATTCAAGATAGGCACCAAGAGCTTTGACTGACGGACAAAATATGACGTATCACCTTTTGGTTGAAGGCACGCATATTGCATCAATTCCATTCCGTGAAATTTATCGGACTCTCCGTGCTAACAGGTGCTGAGACGTCACATTCTGTCAACTATGCAGGGCGCGAGTTTATAAATCCAGTAGAACTGTACTGTATCACTGTTTACAAATATAAAATGTTAGTGTAACTTTAAAAAAAATGCATTCTTGTCATTATTTCAACCAGATGGAAGACGTAATTGACCACATTAATAAACTAAACACAGTCACAACACAGAGAAAACCAAGAATTCGATCCACCAATCTCCCGATCTCTCGCCAGTCTTGTGTAATCCTAGCAGAAGCCTCCTCGGAGATCATCTTGTCGGAGATTGTGCGAATGGACTCCGATAAATCCCTCATCGTATCGTTATTGGACACTGTGTGCATTTCAGGGGCATCATGTGAAGGTTCATGTATCCCCTGGTCCTCTAAAAGACCCCCACCTCCGTTAGAATACCTGATGGACTTTCCATATTGCCCAAGACAAAGTATCCTCCTCAAGCAAGTATCATTCAAGGCAAGCTTTAAATAAAATTTTGTACATTTTTGTACATTACATATACATGTATGTTTGCAAATTAAAAAAAAAAAAAACAAGCATTCTGAGAGTATTGCATTAGCAATACTAGTTCCCTACCGGCAAATGTAATCTGGTTTCCGTTAAATAATTCCGTCAAAAATCAATGAAGCGGAACGAAATGCAAACTTGATCTGTAACACTTCAAGGTAAAGTCACATAACAAAAATCAGCTCAATATCTGCAAGCGTTTAGAAAAAAATTGAGGAAAACCCTGAAAAATTGAAAAGGTCCTAATTGCGTCAAAAATCACTGAAGCAGAACGAAATGCAAACTTGATCTGTAACTCATCAAGATACACTCACATACCAAAAATTAGCTCAATATCTGCAAGCGTTTAGAAAAAAGTGCGGAAAACCAAGTGGGACAAACTGACAGACGGACAGACAGACAGACGGACGGACAGACTCAGAGGAAACCAATAGTCCCCTCCGGTTTCACCAGTAGGGGACTAAAAATTGCAAATTAAAAAGAAAAGAAATCAGTTAAGGAAAGAGTATTTTCTTAAGAAGAACGGTGCACCAACTTTTCTTGCAAAACTTACTCTTTGTAACCAAGCTGGTACGCGTTTTCTTCTTCCACTGTCATCACATAGCGAGATAATGAATATGGACAGCAGGAGACTTATTGATGTTAAAATCAAAATAATCAAGTGGAAAATGGCTGAAATAAATAAAAATTTTGATAGTTATGTACATGCATTGTGGCAACGCACTTTGAAAAAATTACGCACTTTGAAAAAATTTTTCAAAGTGCGTTAATTTTGGGACAAAATCAACGCACTTTGAAAATTTTTTTCAAAGTGCGGTAAATTTGGGACCAAATCAACGCACTTTGAAATTTTTTTTCAAAGTGCGTTAAGAGTGTACATCAAATTTTTTAACCATGTACACACTTAACGCACTTTGAAAAAATATGTATAAAACAAAAATGTTGGACTTAAATTTTAATAATAGACAACATTATTATCTCCTCGCAACGTTTGAGGGGATATAGTAACGCGATTGTGTGTTAGTGCGTGTGTTAGTTTTTCCTGTGCGAAACGGAAGTGACGCAATTTGCATCGGGATCGATGTCAAATGCTGCCTTGATTTATAGAATATGCTTTTGGGGAAGGAATGCTCCGCTTTGCGGTGCCCTTGTTTTGTTGTATTTCTTTCTAAAAACTGATGAATTGATCAATCCTCATCGACAACGAAGAAAAAACAGGTTGAAGATCCCTCAGCTCAACTCTTTATCATTCCTACCCAGATATATTTATTTACATAACTCGTACATCTAAAGGTCATATTTGAAGAAAAAAATAGAACCTTCTAAATACAGTAAAAAAGCACTGTATAAGGAAGTCTTTAGTTAATCGAAATTTAGTTCTTTTAAAACTGAAAGTCTATTTATGTTCATTTTCAGGAAAATCAAATTAGCTCAAACTCCTAGGTCAAGGTTAAAAGTTCAGATATGTTTTTACCCAAAGCAAGGTCACAAGAAATACGCATGTGGGACATGAAAGTCAAAGCTCCGCCCAATCAAAAGTTATGGACAAGGTTAAAGTTTTTTGCGGATAAACAGACAAACATCTAGACAGACAGACGGACGGACAGGGAAATTGTTATATACCAGAATCTTAGATTTTTTTTTTAAATTTGATATATATCTAGCCTTATTATGATATCAAAAATTTAAGAGTTCCAGTCGAATGAGTATTGTGGCTAATGTTTTATTTTATTACTATCAAATTAATCAGTCTAGCGTATGTTCATATTGAATATAATAGATATATATATATAGAGAGAGAGAGAGAGAAAGAGAGATAGAAAGAGAGAGAGAGAAAGAGAATTTTCATGGTAGAGAAAAATCATAATTGCTCCTTTTTCCCAAAGAAAAATGCCATACTTTAAATCACATATCGACCCCTTCATCCACTGAACTTATTACAGAATGGATTAAATAAAAAAGGAACGAAGTTATGCAATCATTTCTAAAAGACCTTTTTCCCTTTTATAACATTTACGAGAACTGTCGGGAAGAAAACAACACCTAAAAATCTTTAAAACGTCTATATCTCAGATCCTGAAGTGACATCATCACTGAAAAAGTATTAAACCAGGTTCAAATAATTATTTATCATACCTAAAATTTGCAAGAATATTGACCAAGCCGTGCAATTTTTTTTCAAAGTGCGTTAATATGGTCGATATTAACGCACTTTGAAAAAAAAAGTAAAATTTTTCAAAGTGCGTTAACGTGGTCCCAAAATTAACGCACTTTGAAAAAAATTTTCAAAGTGCGTAATTTTTCAAAGTGCGTTGTAACAATGCATATTTTAAATTTTTAAAGTTTATTAAGGTATAATTTGATCTTTCTTATCCAGAACATATTTCAAGAATATTAAGCGCTTTAACTTTAGGAATGAATCGGGTTTTACCTTTTAAAAGGGGCTTGGGCAAAAACCTTCATAGAATTTCATAACTTACCAAGGTTCGGAACTGTAGTGTGATCAAATGTATTTGTCTCAACGAAGACCAAAACGATCAATGACTCAAAAATCATAAGTCCAAGACCTGCAAAATAGAAGTTATTTCAAACGTATAACACCTAATATTAGGTAAACACTTTTTAACTTGAATTCATTTTCATGGTACTACAGACTAATTGGTATACAAGTAAATAGTTTATCACGGTCATAGTTTAATATTTAGACAAAGACATTAAGCCCTAAAAGAGTAAATTCATGCGGTGAAACATAATATTACAGCCTTGATTTTAGCCTTGATATTGTCCAAAAGTGCAAGTACAATGCGGCAATCAAAATTGCTTCACTTCTTACCAAATGTAATTTTCTGAGCGGAATGTGAAGGTATAGCAAAGAGAAACGGAACCAGGAAACAGGCAATAATGGAGGGCCAGGTGATGACGTAACGATAAAAGCTGGTCTTTCTCATCGTCGTTATCGTCACCACAAACCTCTGATACTCCTCCGGACAGCAAGAATACTTCCTACTGTTGATGGAGGCCGTTGCTTTTAAGATTTTCCACTGAAAATCGAGGTAATTTTCTACATTGATTTCCAACTTTTTTGTCGTATTATAGTAATGACCATACAGTCCTAATCTCATTTCAAGTGAATTGTGAGTCCACGGAACAAAAGTTAAAGAGCATGTCTGGGTATCATATGGGAACAGCGCTAGGTCCATTGAGCAGTAAGTGGACAATGTTTTGTGGGGCACGTAGATGGCAGTGCCGTCATAGCTGATGTATACGGAAGCTTCAGATGACCAAGATGGCCCCGGCGCACTGTAAATAAGTAAGTGACAGATTGGAATTGCTGATATTTCATATTCAATGGGAGTACAATGTGAATAGGGAATAAACCTAGGTTCTAAATTGTGGTCGGTACCCGATGGTTGTGTGGAATTTTATTACCGTTTTTCAAACCTTTAACTCAGCAGATATATTTTGAACTTACTGTAGAAATACAAATATACGCGAGCAGACAGACTCGCGTTATCACGCGAAAAAAAACGCGAATAAAAAGTGATTTACAGTATTATTTATCATGTATTTACATGTAGTAACTGTCTATGCTGTGCATATGCACCCATGCTCTGAATCACATACGAAGAATTAATAACTGTAAGTATTTATCAACCACTTACAAGTTTTCAATTTCTATATCTGGATGCCAAACACTGTTGTATGGAAATCTTATGGATTTAATGCCTCCATATTCTGTAGTGTTCCAAGTCAAACGAGGATCTTTCCAGATCTAGAAATGAAATGAACTTCTTACATATATCAGTCTTTGTTTGAAGAAGGGACGGAATTTGTACATGCATTCAAAATTGATGTATTTACTACATGCATTGTTACAACGCACTTTGAAAAATTACGCACTTTGAAAATTTTTTTTCAAAGTGCGTTAATTTTGGGACCACGTTAACGCACTTTGAAAATTTTTACTTTTTTTTCAAAGTGCGTTAATATCGACCATATTAACGCACTTTGAAAAAAAAATTGCACGGCTTGGTCAATATTCTTGCAAATTTTAGGTATGATAAATAATTATTTGAACCTGGTTTAATACTTTTTCAGTGATGATGTCACTTCAGGATCTGAGATATAGACGTTTTAAAGATTTTTAGGTGTTGTTTTCTTCCCGACAGTTCTCGTAAATGTTATAAAAGGGAAAAAGGTCTTTTAGAAATGATTGCATAACTTCGTTCCTTTTTTATTTAATCCATTCTGTAATAAGTTCAGTGGATGAAGGGGTCGATATGTGATTTAAAGTATGGCATTTTTCTTTGGGAAAAAGGAGCAATTATGATTTTTCTCTACCATGAAAATTCTCTTTCTCTCTCTCTCTTTCTATCTCTCTTTCTCTCTCTCTCTCTCTATATATATATCTATTATATTCAATATGAACATACGCTAGACTGATTAATTTGATAGTAATAAAATAAAACATTAGCCACAATACTCATTCGACTGGAACTCTTAAATTTTTGATATCATAATAAGGCTAGATATATATCAAATTAAAAAAAAAATCTAAGATTCTGGTATATAACAATTTCCCTGTCCGTCCGTCTGTCTGTCTAGATGTTTGTCTGTTTATCCGCAAAAAACTTTAACCTTGTCCATAACTTTTGATTGGGCGGAGCTTTGACTTTCATGTCCCACATGCGTATTTCTTGTGACCTTGCTTTTGGTAAAAACATATCTGAACTTTTAACCTTGACCTAGGAGTTTGAGCTAATTTGATTTTCCTGAAAATGAACATAAATAGACTTTCAGTTTTAAAAGAACTAAATTTCGATTAACTAAAGACTTCTTTATACAGTGCTTTTTTACTGTATTTAGAAGGTTCTATTTTTTTCTTCAAATATGACCTTTAGATGTACGAGTTATGTAAATAAATATATCTGGGTAGGAATGATAAAGAGTTGAGCTGAGGGATCTTCAACCTGTTTTTTCTTCGTTGTCGATGAGGATTGATCAATTCATCAGTTTTTAGAAAGAAATACAACAAAACAAGGGCACCGCAAAGCGGAGCATTCCTTCCCCAAAAGCATATTCTATAAATCAAGGCAGCATTTGACATCGATCCCGATGCAAATTGCGTCACTTCCGTTTCGCACAGGAAAAACTAACACACGCACTAACACACAATCGCGTTACTATATCCCCTCAAACGTTGCGAGGAGATAATAATGTTGTCTATTATTAAAATTTAAGTCCAACATTTTTGTTTTATACATATTTTTTCAAAGTGCGTTAAGTGTGTACATGGTTAAAAATTATGATGTACACTCTTAACGCACTTTGAAAAAAAATTTCAAAGTGCGTTGATTTGGTCCCAAATTTACCGCACTTTGAAAAAATTTTTCAAAGTGCGTTGATTTTGTCCCAAAATTAACGCACTTTGAAAATTTTTTTCAAAGTGCGTAATTTTTTCAAAGTGCGTTGCCACATTCTAAGCTTACCTGTTGGAACATAAAAGTGGTGGTAATCGTTTCCTTTGCTGCATCCTAGAGATGTAAGAAAAATACTATGGTTTCACCAATGTAAAGGACAAGCATGTTTATGGAAAAAAAGGTTTCTTTTCGAAAGGTTTACTCGACTATTAATTCATTAAAATCAAACTTGCTTGACTAGATCCCCCCTCCCCACCCCACCCCACCTTTAAATGAGAGGGCATCCTCCGCCAACCCGTGTTTTATAAAGAAACATGCATGTTAATTATAATACCTTCCTACCGTCACTGAGGAATCGCTCCTGACAGGTATTTAGTGACTGTTCATGCTATCCAGAATCAACGGGAAATAGGTATACATATACGTGTACTTCGATTTCTACAAAGCGTATTTTGCGTAAAATAGCTATTTAGCAAATGAAATAAACCGGCGAAAAACAAAACTTAGGGAGCCGACTGGAGTTTTATTGTGTAAAATCTGCAAAAGAAAAACTCTTCAGTAACTTACACTAACTTTAGTATTATCGCCTGTGTGGCGCAGTAGTTGGAACACTTGCTCTAGAGTCGCATAGTAAGGAGTTGATCCTTAATCGCTGGTTCGAATCCATTGTGTGACGTGGAGACCAGTCCTTTTCGGATGAGACCATACAATCCGACGTCCCATGTCGCAGTAGGTGCTGACACGAAAAAGACCCTCACTGCTCAAAGGCCGTAAGTGCCAAGAACAGATCTAAATTTGCAACCCTCCAACGGCAAGTGAAAGATATGTCTCCTGGATCAGGGGTTCCGGTTGGGGAGGGAGGAGCTCTAATGATTATTTAGTGAAAAATGCATTTAATTTAATGCTTTGAAAATCGTCTACTCTGCCCCTTGGTATTAAGCAAACAAACTAAATGCATAGTAATGATCAGGAAGGGTGCCCCTTCCAAAATTGCGAATTTTATGTATATATATTTACATTTGCTGTGTTTTTCTACTAAGCCAACTGTGAAATTGATTTGAAAGTCATTATAGGATTAAACGTTCTTTTTTCAGAATATATCGATGTGTAAACTCATGCCTTTGTACTCACAAACTGGATAAAAAGGCGAAGCACATTCATGTAAAGTTTGTGAGTACAAAGACATGAGTTTACACATCGATAAATTCTGAAAAAAAGAACGTTTAATTCTTATAATTCTAATCACGAAGTTTTAAAGTTATTTCAGTCTCTTTGAAGCCTCCATACAATCTGGTATTTCTGTACAGCGTAGGAATACTTTATGCCGCGATGTGGAAATGAATCGCAATCGAGATGAACGTCGATAAAGTTCAACTTAAATTGTCAAAACATTTTATAAAATAAGCTTATAAAAACTCTTCGAATATTGTTTAAGTCAACAAATATCGTAAATACAAGTAAACTTCAAAATAATTCGTCCTTGACCATGTTGACAATATATCGACATACGCTCTAAAACGAAAGTAGCAGACCGACAACAACCAAAGACGGGACAGAATATAGGATGTAGAAAAATGAATTTGATGCTAGTAAGGCAACACTTTCTACCATCGGCTCATACATTCACCTCTGTCGTTGGCTCGCGTATATCACAGTGTTAAGCACAAGAAATAGTGCGTTTGTTTTAATTCATTATAAATAATTCCCTGCGCTAATGTTTGTTTTTAAGGTAGATATTTCCTAAATAGATATAGAACTACTAGTATAATTTGAAATAATCCTTGGAATATCATGTTTTCTACTTAATGTCAAAAATTTTGACGCGAGCCCATTGCTGAGGTGTCTGAGAGAGGAACGAACGACAACTCTGCATAGGAGATTGGTAAGGCAAGAGTCTAAGGTACGTTTCTCTTTCCTATCACAGCGCTACCGAGAACTGAGCTGATTTGTTTTGTAGGCCTATTAGGAACGTCATGAATATAACTTCAGAGATTTAAAATTCACACTGGTGATCATAAACATAATATTCCAGTCTGTCAGTCCTGTATGTCCTCAGTTTTGTTTTTATTTAATTTCAAGTTTCTGTAATTGTTTAGCTAAAACACAGAATAGAAGTAACGATTTGTTTAATTTTTTTTTTTACAATAAAAGCTAGGTCAAGAAAGTATAGTTCTGATTGAGAATTTATCGATGTGTAATCTTTTTCTTGAATTTGCTCTCGTCCAATCAAAACACAGGAAATCAATAAATAAAATTAAGATTGGAATTATTTTCGTGTATACTCACGCGTAGAAATATGCACGGAGAAACTCGCGCTAAAGTGGCGTCACAATGAGATACAGAGACGTTAATGAAAATGTCACGATATAGGGCAGCGAATAATTCAAACATTGAATGCTATTGAACATGTAAAATGTAAATATAAGGAATGTTTTAAAGCTTAGTTTGAATTATTGGTGTGTAAATCACACAGACTTGCACGTAGGCATATTTTTCATGAAGCGCTAGCGCGCTTCATGAAATATGCCTACGGGACAAGTCTGTGTGATTTACACACCAATAACTCACACAAAACTTAAAAACATTCCATAAATATAGAAACAAAACAGAAATGAATGTTTGGTTTAAACAAGGAAATGTTTGGTTTAAACAAAGAAAGCATGCCCAAAGTCGGATTCTTGCCTGGGATAATAAATTTTTAACCCATAGTATAATAATTACACATGGTATATCTAACTCTCAATTACACCCCTCCGCAAAATCCCAGTCATTTACGCTTTCAGAGAAAACAGAGACAAACTGTTTATTACCATTCTCTTCTACAATAAGTCAACGATTTATCTATACAACCATGTATGCCATGCTTATTTTAATTTTCATTTATCTCTGTAAACAGCGTCAAAACTCTGTTCGTCGATTGGAAAATTCGTCTCATACCACTGCTCGCAGACTGGAAAATTCGCCTCACACTATAAAGTGGTACGTACTTATCTCTAGCGGAATAGGTTCATGGATTTTGATTGGCTAAAAAGAACTATGTTTTTAAAATTACATCGGTAAAATATTTTTTTTCATGGAAAATAAAACATAAAGAAATCTGATTTATTTGCTGGAATATATTTAAACACAGCTGGAATTGTATTTTTAAACCCATTAATATTTAAAGTTTGCTCTCTGTCCGAGATTAGTACATATCACTTCATGTTTTGACGCTGTTTACGGAGATAAGTGCATGTCATACATGGTTGTGTAGATAAATTATCGAAGAATGTAATGGTGATAAACGGTTTACCAGTACATTTTCTGTGTATTACTTTTGAATAATATTGAAATGATTTTTTTTGCCTAAAATTAAAATTGTCCAACAGACTTTGATTTTAAACATGTCTTTTTAATACCAGAAATAAAATTTTTGTATCAAAGAAAGATTTTCTGATACCAGAGAATATATATATATATATATATATATATATATATATATATATATATATATATATATATATATATATATATATATATATATTCTCTGGTATCAGAATTTTTTTCTGCAAATACATATAAAAGAAAGGAAAAAATGGTGCCTTATATAGTTCAATCTGTATACATGTACTTACTAGTTCATCAACTCTAATTAGGTCGTACATGAGTTGAACATGGATTGGTGTACTGAGATCTGTGGTTGGTCGAACTGCTGTGAGGTAGTTTTTCATGAGATCATTATGTAGTCTTTGTTCATGGGCAAAAATGTCTGAAAAGTAAATTTAAATGTTTATAATGTTAATAAACATGTAATAACATATGGTAACAGCATTCATCAAAGTTGAATTAATTAATCCGGAATTGTGTATCCTGATCTAATGTATTAGTGAAACAAGTTAAGATTGAAATCGGTCTGAACCTATGGTAGAAATTATTTATAGCATTTTGGGGAAAAAATAGATGATTATTGTGTTTTTGCAACCTTTGCAACACCGCCCATGGAAATCAAATACCTACAAGCTAATTCAGAGAATTTGTGTCCCCCGCTTAGGGGAAAAAAGAAGAGCATGCGTAGTTCGGCCTCGGGGGCGGGAGGGGGGGTCGGACCCCCCCCCTTGATTTGTAGAATTATTAAATGTATACATGCAAATTGAAGGAAATAAAAAATGCCGGTATGGATATAAAGATTTGATTGCTTATTCTTTAATGTGTGTATAGAGGATTCTTTTTGTATATAGAATATTTATCACAGTATAATAATTTTTTTATGAGTTTGTACAAGCCAGACGTCATAACTTTTTCATTTCACATGCTGCACCCCTACTAATGTTATTGTGATTTAAATTCAAGACACGTGGTGTAGGTTGACCCATTCTAAGGTTATAGGGTAGAACAGGTTTTATAAATAAAATTGGCAGTAACAAGGAAATTGCTGTAATCTGTTTCTTTCAAAAACATGTCCTAAAAAAATGTGTTTCCAGAATTTTCTGAAAGATTTTTAAGATTTTAAACAGAACAATCTACTTTTAAGTAAATGATCATAAAAGGGAAGATTAATTTTAATTACTAAAATTAATCTTCCCTTTTATGATCATTTACGGCGAAAATTGGAACTTTAAAAGTAGATTGTTCTGTTTAAAATCTTAAAAATCTTTCAGAAAATTCTGGAAACACATTTTTTCAGCGCTTTGATTGAGTCTCAAAATATTCACTCATCAGTCAAACAGGAAAGTTTATATTTTTTTCACTGTTTTGCCTAATGATAAAAATTGACCAAGTATGTTTTAATTAGACAGTACATCAAGCATTACATTGTATTGTAGGACAGTTATATTTTTATTTAAAAGCAAAATTAATTAACTTGCAATTAAAGAACTTCACTCGACAGTCCAATTTTCCTCGGGATGTTTCGCACATATCCATATCAGTCTTTCAAAAAAAAAAAATCAACAAAAGTGTTCTTTGATGAGAACTTCGCTCTAAGTACTGTTATCAGAATATATTCTGTTTATCCTTCCCGGTGCTTATCTGCATCACTCCCAAAATTTACACTCATCAGTCAAACACGAGATTTCTCTCTTTTTCAATCTTTCATATACCCAAACTAGGCATTGCATAAAATAATAAACAGCAATGAAAAAAAAAATTGTCGAAAAATCCTTCGACATTATTACTGCATTGTTAATTTAGATTCGTATGAAAGAGAACAATCATATAAGAAAATGTGAATGAAAATATTCCATCCAGTCTTTTTTTTTTCAAAAAAAAAAAAATATATTAGAAAATATGTTAATTGACACCTTATTTTCAATACCATAATGTAAAACAAAAATGGACTTCATTGATTGACATTGCATTGTAGTGCAGTGCAATAAAATGCAGTTAAATTCTTATTATGGTAAACAGTATAAATTCCCTTGCAAACAAAAAAAATCTCTAGTCTAGTCTAGGCTCTCTAGTCTGTTTTTGAAACCTTTTTTTTCAAAGCATAAAATGGAAAAAAAAAAGTGTGTGTATTCAATCAGTTTTTAAATTCAATTAAGAGAAAAAACAATGACTAAGTTAATTTTGATTGTACCATTTGGCAGGCATCACAATGTATCGCATTATATTGCAGCAGAGTGCAGTATGTTGCAATTCCACTGGTATTTATACAAGCACAATTATTTTAGTTGTCAATGTATTAGAAATATTCCCCACCATCCACCCTGCAAAGACAGCTTTTATATACAATTTGTCCTTGTGATCGAATGTTTATTTGGAAATTTGCATAATGTAAGTTTTGTTTCAATGTTCGATAACTCAAATTATGTCCCTTTGAACAACGTAGACAAAACGATCATTGATTTCTGCTTTATATTATGTAAATGTTTAAGCAATGCTAACGAGTAACAGGCTTGTATACTATATACACTTAACAAAACTTCTAAGTGTTCACTCTAATAAATGCATTTATTAAAAAAGTACATGATGGAATATTATGATATTTTCAAATTATTATAACCAATAGGTCTTCTCAACAATTCTCGAAAGAAAATCACTTATCACCGATGAAAACCAATGTCCCGTGACGAAGCTTAAAGCTTACATGAATTCTTAAAAACACAACATTTGCATCAATGTACGACTTGTTTTATACCAAGTGGCCGTATTCCGCCATATTTCTTTCAGATACCTTGTCTTATTGTAACGATATATACCCCAGTGCCCTCGTTACACTTGAGTGAATTTTTGGTTTGGCTATCGAGGTGTGCACATCTCCGATAGTAAAGTATTTGGGAACACATGAATTGATGAAAACATTTTAAAACCATAACAGATAAAAACAGTCATAAAGATATTTATGAATAATTATCGTTTTGAATAATATACTTTTGTAATTGCAAGTTTGGAAGAAAAACCATAGTTGCGCGTGTTTTTTTTTAAAAGCATACCAGTATATGCATACTAAACTTGAAAATAATTCACAGTAAAACTCGTACAAACAATTTGCAATAATCTATTGTAAAAACGGAACAAACAACCAACCAGCGTATTCTGGTATTTGCCATGCATGCCCACATGCATTCAAATACAATTGATGCATATCGAGAGAACACGTCGAACGCGTGTAAACTTATTCATACCTGGAAATAGACCACTGTACCCATTCAAAGATGTGCACATGCCGAGTGATTTACACCTTGTATTCCATTTATTGAAATATGCATCACAAAAAAGTAATAAACTCCATAAAACTCAACAGTAAACACGTTGTCACTTCATCGTACAGCCTAGCACTCAAATACACTTAGTCCGTGCTGATCAGATTTTGGTCAGGGAAAATATCAAAAGTGAAAAAGGGAATTAGTACAGTGCTACCTTGGTATATTGCCCTCTGTTATAATGCCACCCTCGCTTATTGCCAAGAATTCTCGAAGAACGGATTCCCCCCTTTTGTTAATACACCCGTTATATTGGAATCCGGGATGTTTCGCGCCGATTCTGTTTCGCACTGAGATGGTTCGCGCCTGGATGATTCGCGCCGATTTAGGTGCGAAACATCTCACGATTTATTTTAAATATTCAATGACATTTTTATCCATTTTAAAAAATTGTTTATCAATTATAAGATATACATATATAGATGTTGTGTGTTCAAATGCATGACTTAATAATACATGTATGCACTGCCAAAGATTACGGATCGTGTTCATCAAATATTCCATGAGGATTTAATTGTAATTAGTTGTAGATCGAAAGGTGAGAATTTATTAATGGACGTGTTGGTAGTCAAACCAGCAATAATTACTTAATTAGATGGCGGTATTATAATTAGCATGGTGTTAAAATAATACATAATTATACATACATAATTATATGCTATGTATACTTCAAACACAGACATAAATAATTATGTCTCTGCTACAAATATAATCTTCTTGAATTAAAAAAAAATGTTTCAAAAAATATCAAAATTTACACCATATAACATGTTTAAAATCTAAAATTTTGTTAAACGAACTTCAGTAGGCTAGCACATATTTGTACAACAATGTGGGGCGAACCATCTCAGCGCGAAACGGAATTGGTGCGAAACATCGTAGCGCGAACCATGCTTAGGTGCGAAACATCCCGTTACCTTATATTGCCACCCCTGCTTATTGCCATCCGCCACTGGTTTTGGGAAACAAAAGGTCAAATTATATAAGGAAAACCCTCGAGAACAACGCCAATTACCTAGAGCGGGTCGGTAATTTGGACAACACACCCGTGCTTTGACAGTGGTTACGGTGGAGCGTAACGGGCTGGACAAGGAATTCAGCTAAATTAAAAATAATTGGTGAATAAAACTCAAAATTAGCAATGTCTTTGACGTGTTTTTCTAAGATAGAAGAATTATTTCATCACAGTAATGGAAATGTCAGGCAAGAGAAAGCGTACAAATTTGGATTACGAGAAAAAAAATTGATTGATCAACATTCGATCTACATGTATTTGATTGTAAATCGCCGATTATTGCTTATCATGGATAATGCACCAAACCATAATAAATGCAAATATTCATTTGTGTCCCCTTAGATTAAGAAGCCATTCTATTGATCAAAAGGAAATCCCACCTCTATTTTTAGACTACTATAATTCCGCACGTGAAAATATAAAGGCATCTGTTACCCCTGAATTTTTCATAAATTGTTGGGCACAGATTGGGTTGATTGATAAATATCAAAACAGAATCGGAAGAGAAGCACACAGGTACCAGCAAACATAAGAATGCATGTTTATTACAACAGGTTGACGTACTCTGACACGTGACTTGCCATTCGTCATGACACTTTACCAACCGAACTTTTTAACTGATTCAGAAATTCTTGAGACGGTGAAAAAAATATACTTTCGATTCAGATGAGATTAATAATAATTCTCAAAACTTTTTTAATACCGAGAGGCTTAGCGGCTACTGACATCTTTGTTATCAGGTTATTAAATTCTTAGAGCATGGCGAAAGAGCAGGGAATTGACAGGTATTCAATATTCTGACATTTTGTTTCTTTTCAGTAAAAATATTGTAAACCAAAAAAATAATGACCTCTTTTTCAAAAAGAAACGAGAGCTTCCCTTATATGTATGTGCACAAGCATGACATTAACAGACTGTAACTGAAATGAATTACGTAAAGTAACTATTTTTTTGCTTTGATTACCCACTGAATTGTAATTTATGCCAGAATTTGTTATATTGCCACCCTCGCTATAATGCCAAAATCTGCCTTGGACAAAAGCTGGCAATATACCGAGGT